ATCTTATCGATGTAAGATAGTCGTTCTTCTTGAAATCAAGTCAAAGCCTGATTTTCAAGGATTGGCTGTAAGATCAGCACCTCTGCTCTCTCTCTCTGCTCTGGATTGCTCTCAAGTGCTCAACTTTTGATCTCTGCTGGCCGCCCTTGTGAAAATGGCCTTCGGGGGTATTTATAACCCTCTGGATGAACAGTGCTCGCGAGACAGCATTTGCTGTGTAACTACAAAAACTCAGCAATCATAGAAATCAGTATGGCGAGACAGTGTTTGCTGTCTCGCTGGCCGAGACAGTGTTTGCTGTCTCGCCCAGCGAGACAGTAAATTTGCTGTCTCGCCCAGCGAGACAGTAAATACTGTCTCGGAAAATGCAGTTTCTCATTGTAACCGCTCTCCCACGTTTTAAATTCCGTTATTCTGGCAGTTATCAACGTGATTCTCGCCCACGACGTTTCCCACGTTCTTGAACAGTTAGTGGCCACGTGTCGACGGTTGCAAAACAGTTTCTTGAACCACTGATAACTGTCTCGTGGGCGAGGCAGTAAATTCTGTCTCGCACGGCGAGACAGTAAATACTGTCTCGCAGGGGCGAGACAGCAGGCGAGACAGTAAAGACTGTCTCGCCGGGCGAGACAGTAAAGACTGTCTCGCCTGTGAGATAGTCTATACTTGTGTTCTTTTGCCTTTTTGGATGATTTCCTCTTGAGCTGTATTTGGATATCTTTCAGCATTTTTTTTGACGCCTACACTTGGGACGCGAGGGTCGCGTTTGGCACTTGATACACGAAGGTCGCGTTTGGCACTTGAAACGCGAAGGTCGCGTTTGGCACGGAGATCGCGTTTGGCACTTGAAACACGAAGGTCGCGAGGGTCGCGTTTGGTACTTGAAACGCGAGGGTCGTATTTTGACTGGGAAACGCGAAGTTGAAGTTCGCGTTCAACGAAGGCTTGAGGTCCGCGTTTTGGCTGTAAAACGCGCCATTGAGGGCCGCGTTCAGTCTGGTTCTCGCGAAGCTCATGTTTGGGCTCATAAACGCGAAGTTCAGGGTCGCGTTTAGGCTCACGAACGCGAAGTTCGCGTTGGTTGGAGGATCGATTTTCTCGAAGTTGTGCTCGTTGCTAAGACCTTCTTCTTCGACGAGCAGCGTTCTTCTTGGCTTGTTTCAAAGCCTTAGCAGCAGCGTCGTTGACGTTTATGGAGCTCGTCTCCTTTATAGGCCGTTTAAGGTCTGTGGCACGTCGTGCTGACGCGGAGGTGGGATATTCAACTCGCTGTGCGAGTTCAGCAGAGGCCGAGCCCGCTCCTGGAGCGGAGGGGCTGTTCGACGAATTTTGGCCAAATGAGAGGACTTTCTTTGGCGTTCCAACAACAGTTGGAGATTTAGTCTCCTTGGAGACCTTGCGGATCTTGCGCATAGCCTTGGGGCTAAGAGATCCAGAGGAGATAGCCTTCTCAAACTTGGCTTGATCAAACTCTACCACGAGAGTTTCGACGATTGTTCCAGTGAGATGAACATCGGATTGCGCCACCACTTCTTCATCAGAGAAGCTTGTCCCCAGCAGAGTCGCCATCTTTTGTTTGTGGGAAAATTGCAATGAAAAGAATAAAGAAAATTGATTTGTATTTCTTTGATTCCGATTACAACTTGATTACAAAAGAGAAGAGAACGGATTTTATTCTCTCCTTTGTTTAAAACTGGGTTCTTCACGGTGGCGATGGAATGCCTCCTTCGATTGCTCGCGTCGAAATTGCTCTCCGTTGACGATCCGATGTTTTGCTTCACTGGAACGATATCTTCTCCTCACGATTTGACGTTGTGAAGAACTTGCGTGGCAAGTTTGAGAACTCTGAACGAGTTTAGAAGAACTCTGTAAAAGAGTTGATTTGAACCGAAGATCGGTTAATAAGCCAAGGCTAGAAGAAAGCTCTGGTGGTCGATCTTAGCTGAGGATGAACGTCGATCTCCCTCTTGCTGCCAATTCTCAGATCCGAAAAATCCAGCCAAAAACGTTTTGATGAAAACGCGAGGGTCGACCTTGGCGTTTTTGATGTTGTAACGCGGGGTTCGACCCTGGCGTTTTGATGTTGAGACGCGGGGAGGACCTCCGCGTCTTGCCTTGCAGAGATTATCACCAAGTAATCTCTTTTTGTCATAGCGTTGCAAAGATCATTGTCTTGTAATCTTCGTCTTGGCTCCTTGAGAATATGAGAGTCGTCAGATTGTAACTCCCGATGTTGATTGTGAAGGCCGTTGATTAGAGCTTTCATCAGTTGTCGTGAAGGTCGTCAGATTGTAACCGTCAGCAATCTACGCGAAAGTCTTCAGATTACAGCCTTCTGGAAGTCGTCAGATTGTAACTTCCATCATCGGTGGTTGATGGGGGATAAGCTATCTATTGTGATTTTTAGACAGCCTACAGGTCAAAACTAGTTTGACCTGTTACAACATTAGTATTAAACATATTATATATTAATTATAATAAAATATATTATAAATAAAATGTTATAATATTTAGTTTACATTATTATAGTATCATAAATATTAAATATAATATAATATAATATTGCATAATGTATTATAATATTATATCGTACTTTAATGTGTTATATTATATTATAGTAATTATATATTATTTTAAAATATTAATATATTTAATTATTTTGATATATCAAATTATTATTGTTATATATTATATAATATTTTTAGAATAATATTATTTTATTTTCAATATAATATTATACTACTATTAACATTAACATTTGTTAGCAATAAATTATGTTAGTATTAAAAATTATTTTACTTTATAATATATTATATTATTTATTATATAATACATTAATATTTTATGTATTATATTACATTTACTATACAATATATTATTATTATTATGTTATTATATTATTATTTTATTATTAATTATGTTATTATCATATAATATTTTGTAATTATTAATTTATTAAAAAATAATAATAGTGAATATAATATTATATATAATATTATTATATTATTATTTATTTTTAAAAAATTTAATTTTATTTGTTTATTTATATTTCATTATTATTTATTATTATTTAATATGATACTATATTATTATGTAAGATATTTTAATTACTATTTTTTGTATTATTTAATAAAAAAATTTAATATATTAGATTAACTATAATATAGTATAGTATAATGTAATATAATATAATAAACATGTCAGTAATAACTATATTTTAATTACATTTAGTATGTTATGTTAGATATTAATTACATTATCACCTCAAACTCAAAACTAAAACCCTAAAATTAAAACACCTAACATGTGTTTTTAAATAAGTGTTGTGTTTTTTGTTTGAGGATGATGTAGCTCAAAAAACACAATGATTTCCAAATGCATGTTGTTTTGTTTTTGACAAAAACACCATTGGTATCCAAACAGAGCCTTAGTTTTTTAAAGAAAAATTCTTTCCTTCTTCACGCAACCTCTCATTCTATATGTTAAAAACAATTTATTTTTACTCATTTTATAGGTAAATTTCATCATGAAAACTCATTGTGTAACTATCTACCAGTTGTCCTCCTTCCTTCCTTTTTATATTGTAGTCAAATACAAGGGGGCATGAGGTGAGAAGATAGCCTAAAGAGTCCTTAAGTTTTACTCCCTATTTCTAAGAAGCTCGTAAGATTCTATTTTTTGACAAAGAAGCCTCTAAAGTTAACCCATTTTTTCTAAGAAGCTATCAACTTTCCATTTTTGACAATGAAACCCCTAAGCCTTATCCTTTCACTATAAAAAGGCTCTAAAATTTACTCTTCTCTTCTATAACGTCCTCAAATATTCTTGTTAGCTTAGAGGTTTCGTTGTAAAGAAAAGAAAGTTGGGGGATTTTTTAGAATAAAGGAGTAACACTTAGGGACAGGTTTGTCAAAAATAGAAAATTAGAGGCTTCTTAGAAAATATGACTAAAACTTATGGTTTTCTTTGTGAAAAGAAAAAACCTAGGTGCTTATTCAAAAAGAATAGTAAACTTTTGGGGGGTGTTTTTAGACTGTATGATCTAGCAGAGTTAGTAATTATATGAGGAGAAGACATCAAGCACAATCACTTCATTTTTCTTCCTCGTTGATATCATCTGCTCAAGAATTTTAGATTAAAAACCGCATGCTAGCTTTGCTCTGTCGTCGATGCCCAATAAAACTACCAATTAAAAGTAACAATTTTTTTGTGTGATGTCATTAATGGCTTAGAGTTATGATTGTCCCCTCTTACCATCTAGTAAAATGACGTACACTTCGGGGGGCGGGGGGGGGAATTACTGGTTTGCGGTTTAAACAAGCCGAAAATTAAGACATATATTTATATCTATAATTGCTCTCAATCTACTTGTATCTATATAAAACGAGTTGCCTAAAATGAGCGTGCATGATCTCTTTAATGATTTAACATAAAATAATCCAGTAATTTTAGAATATCGGCGAACTTCATGCTTGTCCACGTCCACAATAGTCATGAATATCCACGTAAACATGACACCGTCTATCCTCTAAACGAAGGTGATAAAACATCCCAATGATTACGTGGATATCCACGCTCCTGAAAATAGCAAAATGTTTTCAGTGCACCATTATTAAGAGTTTGACATGCTCACAAGGAACCGAAAACCTAATATACTACCTGCTATTATGCTATAATGGATTTAGGGTCGGTTTTAATAGAGAAGAGGGTAGGGGTTCAAGAATTTTTTTTGGTATATTAAAGAGTAGCTCATTAAATAAATTGCTTCAAAAATACATAAAGGAGAAAAGAAAAAGGAATTATAAAACCTATCGTAAAATCTAATATATATATTTTTAAAGAAATTGGTTTGGAACTTAAACCCATGGGCCCTCATTTGGTTTCTAAAGGCATTATTAGGGATTTAGGGTTATTACAAACTTACCGTATTATCCTCACTCTCCTCAGGGACACAGTCCTCTATATGAAAACAAACCCAGCCGCACTGTTCCCCTGTCAGACCGTCACTTTCGTTCTTTCTCGTGTCTCTCGTCACTGCTCTCTCTCTCTCTCTCTCTCTCTCTCTCTCTCCACTCCAACCCGAGATCAGACTTAGGGTTCAAGCTCAGAGCGATCTTTGCAGGTAAGCATTTCTATCTCCGGATTCAGTTCAATCAGGCTCTCGATCGGGCCTCCATTGATGCTGTCTTATGTTTTCACGAATTTTTTATTTTTTAATTTTTGCCGTTTATTTCTAATTTTTTGTTGATTTAATCTTGTTAGTGCCCGATCTTAGAAGCGATCTCAATTGCGTGGTGCATTTCGGTTTCGGCATCGTGAGCGTATCTTCCAGAACTAATCTGAGGTAATTGGAAGGATGTAACCCTTGGACGTGTTTTTGATACTGTTTCCATCTCGGATTTGTTGATGCATGTACCGGATCTTTGATTGTTTGTAGATTAGTTGATTATTTGCTTAGCTTACTTCCTTTTCTTTTTTGCGTTCGAGCTGATTACTAGAATTCCTTAGAACGTGTTTCTGTCTTAATTTTGTTGGAATATTTGTTTTTAGCTGCTTCTTGATTATCTTCGTACTTTATAAATTATACAATGCTCTTCATTTATGTCGAAGCGTTTTCATTTTCTCGCATGCTTTGAAATCTCAACTGTAGCTTTAATTGGTGCACAGAGTACCAATGCACACGTCTCTATCCCTGATTTAATCCAATCAGGCTTTCAGGCGGACTGCTCTTGAGGCTTGATAGTGATTTATGTTATTAGAAAGTTTTTTTAAAACCATTTCTTTCCGTTTACTTTTTGTTGGTTTTATGTTGTTAGTGTCCGATCATGGAAATGAACACAATCGTGTGGCGTTTCAGGGTTTTGACCGCGTTACCATGCCTGCTATGGCTAAATGAGCTATAAGAAGAATCTAAAACCCTGGACCTGTTTGTAATACTCTCTATGCCTTAGATTCGTGGATGCATATGTATAATGAATCTTTAGTATGTTGTCAGATTAGTTGATTATTTGCTTAGTTTTTCCCCCTTACCTACGTTCAGGGTGAATTTTTTGTTCACAGATTATAACTAGAATTAGTTATAATTTTTTTTTCTGTCTTACTGTTGTTAGAGTTTTGTGTCTATCGTTGCCTGGATTATCTTCATACTTTACCAACGGATTTCATTTAGATGCACGCGGCTCTTTTTATTTTTTTGTTGTCGCACGCTTAAAATCTCAATCGTAGCTTTAATTGGCATTAAAGCACAGTTATCGTAGTATTCACTGGCATTAAATCACAGCATCAAGGTAAACTACTAGCAGTATCAAGGTAAACCACTGGCATATCCCCTATATAGTCCAATCAGGCTCTTGATCCAACTGCTATTGTTGGTGGTTTATTTTATTTGAATGTTCTTTTCTGTTTATTTGTATGATTTTAGTTAATTTTATCTCTTAAGTGTTTGATTATGGAAGCAGATTCGTTTATGTGGTGTTTTAGGGTTTTGGCAGTGTCTTCTCGGATCAATTGAATTATAGGAATCTAAAACCCTAGACCTCTTTGTAATACTGTGTACGCCTTAGATTTGTGGATGCATGTTATGGGCTGTCCGTTGATGCTTAGGTTAGTTGATTATTTCCTCAGCTTATTTCCTTTTATATGTTCTAGTTGATTACTAGATTGATAGAATATTTATCTGTCCTAGTTTTGCTAGAATATTATTTTTATTGTTCCCCGATTATCTTCATACGTATAATACTCTTCATTTATAGAGAAATGGCTTCTTTTTTTGCATGCTTTAAAGTATTAATTGTAGATCTAATAGGTATGAAAGTATAGAAGTCGTAATTCACTGGCATGAAATCATAGTAGTGCATGTTTGCTAGTTGATTTTCTACATTCTAATTGATTTTTCAGTTAGTGGCCGGTTATTGAAATAGCATGTCTTGCTTATTTTTGCTAAAATATTGGTTTTTTATTGTTGGAAGATTATCATATATACTCTCACGCTCCTTCTGTACATGGACATGCTTTCTAATTTTGTTGCATTCTTTAAAATCTCAATTATATTGTTAATTGGCATTTAAAGCTGAGCAACCATACTGATATTGATTAAAACTATTGTCTTCTAAGTTGGCGTAAGCTGAGTTGGAGCCCTAACCAGCATGGGTTATGATAATGACTGCATAGTGAATATCCATTCTATCCCCGGTGAATATTTCTGTGCTGTATGCCGTATGCTCATTATTCCAAACGAGGCTTTACAAGCACACTGCGCACATTTATACTGTAAACGGTGCCTAGCTTATCTTGTAGCCACTACTACTGCCTGTCCTTATGACAGCTATACTGTGACTGAAGCAAGCTCTAAGGTTTATTCTTCTTTCGTTTTTCTTTTATTTTTTACATGAGTCTGAAGTTTACTTAAATTTATTAACATCAAAACTGCAGCCTCTGGTAGAATCTAGCAAAGAACTTGTAGAGGCCATTGGCAAAGTAGCTGTACACTGTCTTTATCGCAGGTCCAACTGTCAGTGGCAAGGAACATTGGCTGAAAGCATGGCCCACTGCGCCAAATGTAACTTTGGTAACTCTCTTTTCTTGTGCAATCGATGCGGAAATCAGATTATGCATCGGAAAGTGCAGGAGCATGCACAAATATGCCTTGTAAGTTAAAAAAGGAATCTTTGTGGTTTTTATTTAGGGATTTGTATTTTCTCCACTATCAAGTAGAGAAGTGACCACTGTTTTTAAGTTACACCGTCTATTATTTTCTTTGAGGGTTATGATATATCTTCAGTGAAAAGCAGTGATGAACACAGTGCACTGGGGATATGGTAACTATTAAATTCAGAGTGAATCAGTACTGTCTATTATTTTGTTTGACGGTTGCGATTAAAATTAGTGTCCTCTCCAGTATGTTCTGGTAGCGGAGAGATCCAAATTCTTTATTTTGATGGATTTGGTCTTTGCTCGATAATAATTATGCTATTGTCTGACTGCAGGGTGTTTTTGGTCATGCACAAGTTGTTGAAAAGTCTCAGGCTCAAGATGCCACAGTTGCAACGGCTACAATCAGGCTGGTAGGAGCAGCGTTGGGCAATCAACAAGCGGCGCTGCGGCTGCCACTGCTGGGCTGCTTCTGGGCGTTCAACTAGCAGGCGCAGCAAGTGGGGCTTGGGCTTTCAGCCAGGCACAGGTCCAAGGCAGTGCTGTTGTCCATCCACAAGCTATCACTTCAGAGCAATGGTGCCAGCAGCAGTACCAACAATACTACCAGCAATGCCCCGGATATGATTCTTATCAGCAACAGTGCCAACAATATGCTTGGTATCAGCACCAAGTTTATGAACACTACATGCAATGTCAAATTCAGGCTATAGCTCCTCAGCATGTAACTGCACATCAGCAGCAGCCCCAACCCCAACCTCAAGTACAACCTAGCCAGCCCCAAGTTTCTGCACAGGTCCGGTCTCAACTGCAATTGCAACTGCAACAAGATCGTCCTCAGCCTCAGCCTCAGCCTCAGCCTCATCTACAACAACATCCCCATTCCAAACCCCAATCCCAACCTCAGCCACATGTACCTACTCAAGTTCCGCAAATGCAACCCTTAGCACCTCCTCATCAACCCCATAAAATGCCACAACCTCAGGTCTACCGCCATTACGCAGCCAGCAACATGCCAACCGCAAAACGCCGCTAATCGGCCGGCATCCATCCTCAATTCCAAACACCGGCGGCTCCTAAACATGTCAGCCTTCAAACCACAGGCCGCCGTTTTTTTTTTATCCATACCACATCCTCAGATGCAAGCCTGCGCAGCTTGCCTCTAGTTCATTCATATCAGTCTAACCCACCTATGCCCGGTGCCCCACAGCAGCATCCTATGCTTATACATCCTCAGCAGCAGGCTGTGTCTAGCCAGCACCCTCCTATTCATATGCATCCTCAACCACAGCCACACCCCCATCCTCAGATGCCACCTCCGCAACCTTCCGCTCATTCGCAACAGTCTTACCCACTACCTGTCCCCAGTGCATGGCGGCAGCATCCTATGCTTATGCATCCTCAGCAGCAGGGCATGTCTACCCAGCACTCTCAATCTCAGGGACACTTACCACCCCATCAACATCTGCAGGTGCATCCTCTCAAGTCTCATACGACGATGCCTTCCCAACAACAGCCAGCAATGCCACTTCCTTATGGTCCTGGAAATCTTCATCCTATGCAGCAGCAAATTCAGCAAGCGGCTCAACTTTGCCAATTCCAACAACAAGCACAACGTCCTTTGCATCCAGGTCAGGTGCTACAGCAGGGATCAGTCCATCAGCATCAACACCACCCTCATAAACAATCATATATGCAGCAGCCTGCTCCTAGGCGTCCTCATCCGCAGCTGAATTATCCTCCAGGGCATGTTTTTCCACCTCATCAAGCTCAGGCTACAAACGAGCAATTACCTAATCAGAGTTATATGGGAAGGGCTAACTGCAGCGTTCCAGCTTCTTCTGAGCTGCCATCTGGACCCATACAACAGACTCTGGCATCACATTTTGAGAGTCAAGCTGGTGTATTACCAGCATCACCTGCTAATCCACAACAACGGGCTTCTACTCTCAAAAGAGTTGGACAAATGCCACCTTCGGAGGATGGTTTTCTTGTGAAAATTGCTGAGGGGACTAAAGAGCGAGAGCAAATCTTGGAGAGTGCATCTGATTCTATTTCCGAGCTCAAGGATGGTGAAGCAGCTAGAGATGCTAAGGAGAAAGAGAGCCACACTAGGAATGAGAACAAAAATGGTTCAAAATTGCACGCGAAGAATGTGAATGTGGATGGATCAATGGTGAAGATCCCTGGTGAGGTAACAGAGGGTTCCCATGTGGTCAATGTTCATGATGGAGAAAAGAAAGTTGAAGGCCAGGAAGGCAAATTTGGTGAAAAATCCTATGAGCAGTTCAAAGGAGAGGATACTCATCTTGTATCCAAATTACACACTCAACCAGGCCCTGATATGTCTGTGAAGTGGGGGGCGTCCACGACCTTCTGAGAGGGCTAACCTGAGTCTTGTCTCTGACAGACATAGTGCTGAAAATGTTAGAAATATGCATCCTCCTGAGCAGTACCGGGGCTCAGATCGATGTCAGAAAATGCCGTCCAAGGCGCCAAAACAAATTTCATGTGAACATCCTCACATGCCAGGTTCAGGCATGATATCTGAAAAGCATCCTGCATCTGATAAGATGCTTCCACAGCCAATGCACCAGTCTAGCCAAGAAAGAAGGTTCCTAGAGCCTCCCACCCATCAGATGGCTGTTTCCCAGGAGCCTTCTTGGCTAACTCCACCACCAGGAGGGGTTCTGAGTCGTCATGGTTTCCCTCTGAAAGATTTCGAGCAAAGGGGTGTGGCCCAAAATCATCTGTCCCCACCTCATAACCTTGGAGAGCCTTCAATACAACCAACTATGAGTGGCCCACTTCAAGGAGCAGTGGACCCACCTAGCAGGATGATGGGAGGGCCTCTATTTAATGCTGAAGATAAATTAGGCAAATTGGCTGCTTTTAATGATTCGGAAGCTGATGCACATGTTGTTAGAAGGCCAAGAGGCTATGATGACATGCCACTTGAGCCTCACAGGTGTCTATGCTGTGAGCATTCTCCCCATGGGCAGTCAAAGGCACATGGGATTACAAGCAATGTGCCTGTTGGTGGAATGCATGATCCAATGTTTGATTGTGATCTGTCAGAAGATAGGTTTAGGCCTTCACCAGAAGAAAGGTTGAAGCCTTTTCCTCAAAAAGAATTTAAGCTAGCTCATGATGAATGCGTTAGGGCTTCTGAACGTGTTGTTAACAGGAGAGAGTTTGAAGATAAGAAGCAAGTTCCTCGGCCAGCTCATTTGGATGGTGAAGGTCCAGTTAGGTTTGATGGTAATTTGATGTCAAGGCCCCTTGATAGGATGAGACGACAGCCTAGAGGTGCTAATACATTTACTTCAAGACCACTGTCATATGGATCAAATGCTACATTTCCACCGAGGTCCGGTGGTTCAGATGCTTACCTGGATATTGGTGATGAAGGTAGATCTGTATCCTCACGTAAACATCAAAAAAGAAGATATGATAATACCTTTCCCATCGTGATCGTCACAGTCAAGTTCCTGAATTTAGTCGTCATCGAGATGATGGTTTGCTACCTCCAAGAAGCCCGGGTACTAATTCTACTTTTGCTAATGTTAGGCTTTGATGCAACTTATGCATGTAGAGCATGTTTGGCAAGTGGTATAAGCCACTTTGACATGTTTGGAAAGTAATTTATTTTGGATTATAAGCCACAAAAAAAGGTATGGTACCCTAGCTTATTTTTGGTGGCTTATAAGCCACAAGGGTTGACCAAGTAAAAGACCAATACACCTCTCATAATTTCAAAAAATTTCAAGACCGTATTTGTCTGTCTCCAACCTCATTAAATGTTTTCTGGTCATTTTGATTACTTATAAGCCTCCCCTTTGTCGAACACTCTACTATTAAAAATGGATTATAGTCTCCTAAATTTACCAAACACTTTGGCTTATAATTCACTGGCTTCTAACTCATTGTGGATTACAAGCCAGTTGGATTATAATCCAAAGTTGCCGCACATGCTCGTATCTCTGGCGAACAATTTAAGATTTAAATCTTTCACTGATTGGGACAGGTTATTTTAGTGGAGAAACTTTAGATGGCCAGCCTAACCAATTGAGGCGCGGTCTGGATAACCTCAGACCTGACAGTTTCTCACGTGATATGCCCAGCGGTGAAGTTGGCTCACAGAAAATGCCCAGCTTCTTAAGGAGTGGTGGATTTCACTGCCCTCTTGATGTCAGTGAAACCAGTGAATCTGGAAACTTGCACCCTCCTCTGTGTACTGGTGATCCAGGCAGTGGACGTTTTATTTCAGTAAGTCATTTTCATTTATCTTTGTGACATACATGAATGATTACATATCCAGCCACCTATTCTTAGACTTTGTGACATACAGCCTCTTGCTTATTTTGGTCCTAGTATTTCTTGTTTCCTTCAACATTCATCCACCTATATGATAACTATTGAATGTGCTTTGGTACTTATCATGCTACGGTATGTAGGCTTCTCGTGAAGATGATAGTGACAGCTTTGAGCAATCAAGAAAGAGGAAGGCTGTTAGCACCATACGGTGTCTGATTTGCAGGATTGACTATGAGAATGAAGAGGCTTTGGAACTGCATTGTCAGAGCAGGGAGCATCAGAAAATGTGTATGGACATGGTTCTGAGAATTCAGGAAGGCAATGTCGAGAAGCATAGGTCACACATATTTTCGCATTTCTTCAGTTTAATGTGTTTCCTCTTCCAAAATTGGAATGCAAATTCCAACTTTGATGCCCTTGCAATTGTCTCTGTCTTTTCTCTCTTTTAAACAGGTATCCGGAGAATGCTACTTCATTTGATGATGGCAACAAATCAAGGAAGGGAAGCTTTAAGAAATGTGCTATCAGAAAGTGAAGAAAAATGTGGATCGGCAGCAAACTCATGGTATCATTCTGAAATCACATCATCAAGACATAATTTGATATGATTTCTATACTCTCTTTATCATTTGTTTGATATCTCTCATCTTGTATATTTCTCATTGCCGGCTGTCATGGTTAGTTCATATATATATTTGCCCCTTGCAGGTTACTTTGGGACCTGTCCTTTTGAAAACTCAAATGGTTTTTTCACAAGCTGAAAAGTTTCCTCGTGGTACTCCCTTGTGTTATGCTGACATTGAGCTGCATGTCTTGCTGAAAATTTCTTGAGCTGCATGTCTTGCTGAAAATTTCTTTTCTCTTGTTGGCTTTTCAGATGTGCAGCTGCTTATGCTGTAGTAGGTCTTCATATATTGTGGTTTTTTATTGTTGAATTTGGAATATTTAACAGTTGCATCTTTCTTGTTAGGTCTTTATTTTATCTATGCCATAGTGGAAGTTTAATGTTTTACATATGATATGATTTTAACTTAACGGAACACACTGCATACTCTCAATTCTTTCCTCCCCGGAAACAAGTGCTACTCTTCTCCCTTTTTGACAGAAGGACCCAGGGGAATCCATATTATATCTACTGCAGAAAATCCTTTTTAATCCTTTCCTCATAGAGGTTATCCAATTCTTATCTCTTTTAGAAGGACAACGATAACAATATCATAAAGTAGTAGTGAGGCACCTCTTTGGATTTCTAACTATTCCAGCTAGTTCTCTAAAATTTAAAATATTCAAACGGTCAAATATGTCACCAAATATTTGTACAGAACTGACAATGGGTCTAATGGTTTAGCAGTAAAGATTAATTTTACCTTTCTGAAGTAGCTGATTGATCTCATATTGTTTTCATTTATACAGATTTATTATTTAATATTTCAAAATTCATAGTTTATTTTTTATTTTTTCATTAAGTTTGTGTTGTTGAACTTTTAAAATGTCCCTAGGATCTTGAATTTGATTTTTTGCTTCTCCGACTCCTCTGGGTGATAGCTTAAGCTTGTTGTCTGAGCTTGGCCAGTCATGCCATCTGTCATGTTCTGCCAATGTCCAAAAGTGCCTAGGATCTTGAATTTGATTCTCCCTTATATGACTTCTCCCGGGAATGTCTTGGCCAGTCATAAATTTTTTTTCATGATTTTTATCACATTCACTTAGCTCATGGGATTTCCCTGCCAATGCCCAAAGGTTCCTTTTATCCTTTTCCCTTAATTATTTCTGTCATGCTCTGTCTCATTTTTTATTAATCCATAATTTTGAATTTCTAGACCAGTTTCAATGATTTGCACTGATGCAAACATGTGAATTAAATCTGTGAGCCGTTTTACTGCTTTAAAAGATGATTATGTCTAGAAGGTTGTCGAGGATGCTTGACACAACCTACAAGCCTACCTCCTCTAATCTCTTATTTTCCACAATTATTAATTTTTCCTACGTCCTATAGGTATTTTATAAGGTCTGACATATTTATCTCCTATAGGAGGAAATGAGAAATTTTGTTTGGCATTCGGCATTTGTATTGATGAGATGAGTTCACAAAACTCTTCTTTTGTCGACCAATGTAATTTGATTTTAGAATATGTTCGTCGTCGTACATAATTGTGTAAACCAGTATATAATGTACTGTAATATAATATAAATAATATAATACAATATAATACAATGCAATGAAACAGACAACATACTTGAAAACCAAAAAATCATAGTTAGAGCTTCACCAGTAAGTTCTGACTATTGGGTTGTTTACATGAATAATCTTCCTGTATCCCGCTTGTGCCAGTTTCCCAACAGAGGAAGAAATTAAACCCTTTTCTTGGTTTCTGAAACTTCTTTCTTTGATCCATATACTTGTGCCTTCTCCTAAAGCATATTTATTACACATGGTTTTGGTTATGATCTGTGACCTTACTCTCAAGGTAATTCCACTTGGGCATCTGTAAAATTTGTTCAGATATCCATACCCCTTTAACAAACATTTGTTAAAGCTCTTCTTCAATTGTTTCCTTGTAGTTGTTGCTGTGTCTTTGGATGACACTTGATTTGTACTCAGATTTACTATGTTGTATAGAATCATAGTTATGTTAGCTTGCTGCTGAGTTTATCTGTATCCGATGTTCACAATCAAGTTTATTCATGGTAGCCTATGATACATTTGATCTGAAACAGGAGTATTTCTATAAATTGTGAAATATTGATCAAATTTATTTTTCCATCTAAAGCGCTCCTTTGACCCTAAAACCATGAAAGATAACATGATGACACCAAAATGTTTACAAGAGGATAATTAATCAGTCAGACTCAACCAAGGCAAATGCAACAAAAACTTTATTTGACCAAGAAAAACGATATGAAGGCAAGTGCTAGCATCAGGCATCATGGAAACTATAGAAAGCAATAGCTCTAAAAAAATTTATGGATCTAGGACAAAGTTTTGTCATTTGCCAAATCACAAACAGATTTCTAAGCTAAAAAACATCCCGACATATACAGATAGTGCTTACACGCTGTACCATGAAAACAGGTTTCTTGACTTTTGATGGGAGATTTTCATGGTTATACGTATTTTTGTTTGTGGGGTGGAATATTTGCAGTGAGCACTACATATGCACAACTGATTTACAAATAGAAATGCATAAGTTGCCACGAAAAATAAGGATAGATGAAGGAATGGACCATGAAGAAGGGAGAAGGAAAAGGCATTTCATGTTTGTATGTAGATCACATCATGATTCCATACCGTGTAGGCTCTTTTATGTTTTAAAGGAAATTCCAATAATTATTTAGTCCTTATGTGAACTGTACCCAGTGTAGTCTCTTTTCTGTTTTAAAGGAAATTCCAATAGTTATTTAGTCCTTATGTGAACTGTACCCAGTTGCGTTATTGGATAGACGAAGAAATGACATGGCAGGGGGAAGTCCACACGAAAGGTTTTATGGTTACATGCGAATGGTTCTCCGTCTTTCCTTGGGTTACATACAATTGGTTATCTAGCAGCCATTATCCCAAATGTTTTTGAAGGGAGTACATCTAAAGCCTATATCCCAAACCTGCATCTCCTTTAAGCTTTCTAGAGGGAAGCCGTCTAGCTATCATATTGTTCTTTACCATCCTTTTGCTTTCTCGTCAAGCATTCAAAACCAAGCTTGTGGTTGCTGGCTGCCACTAAAACCTTGCTAGGTCAAGACTTTGTCTGTAGCTAGATTTCTAATATCATTTATTTCTTCAAAGTCATCCTATTGTTGAATATATGCAATTCTGGAGGATCTTCGTTACTAGAGAAGACAACAGGAATTAGTGAGCTTTTGAGTGATGAGTTTTGTGGATTCTAAACCAATGAAGTTCTAAAATTTCTTAACTTAATTACCAATTTATGACCTCTATGAATTTTCATTTTATTCTATTCTATTTTGAAGATTCGTGAGGTTAGAGTAGGCAGGTTGATCTGGTCTTTTACTTAATTTGCCTAGGTGTAAGAATCCTTTGTTTGACTGTAAAAGAATATACATATTCTTTTCCAGTTTCAAAGTGGTGCTGTACACAAATTTAATCAGTATCGGATTTGTATAAAAAGAGTAGGTTTTGCAGACAGCGGACTCCGTAGGGGAATAATGTATATATCTATATAGCATGAATATTGCTATACGTGTACAATTTTATGGAGATTCAAATCTTATGAACTACAATTCATGGCGTATCTGTTTTTGTTGGCTCAACGGATGATGTTCTGCAGAAGGAAATAGTCCTGTCCCACCTTTATACACAAGGCAATAGTGGGAGACAATAAACGGTGACTTGTACTTTATTCACCATTTGGCTATGCAACATGTCATGTAGATCTAAGATACAGAACGAGACAATTTGACCTGTTTGCGACAGAAGATATTAAGAGGACAAAAATAGTAGTTCAATCACATAGTTTGCATAAAACAGCAAATGAATTATGCAATTAGAATTAACAGATTACTGGCTTAGGCCACCGTCGTTGAACGAGGGACTTCACCTTTACTTTTACAATCTAATTTGAGCTAGAATTGTAGTTAACAGACCTTTACTTTTCTGCAATTTGTTACGTTTGCACCTCAAACATTAATTAGATGCTTTAGCTTGTAGTTGACTGACAAATGAACCGAGTAGAGTCTAGTGGTAACTGAAACAAGTTTTAATTACCAGTCATAATTGCCTTTTGACTTTAAAAGCACTTGTTTTTTCTCCTGATTCTGTTAAACAAGTTTTAATTACCTGTCATAATTGCTGTTTGGCTTTAAAAGCACTTTTTTGTGATTCTGCTAGTTTCTGAGTACTTATTTGACTGTTATTTTGTCTCATTACAGAATCTTTTGTTCACCTGATTCCGGCATCATTTCTCATAATTATGAAGTCTCTTCCATCATATAGGTATACAATTTAAGTTCTCATTTTCTTTTGAATGCAACATTGGAACTACCGATATCATTTAAAATCTGAACCTGCAGTGCTTATGCTGGTCATGATCTAATAATTATGCTTCTTCCTACTTACTGTGTAGTTGAGATTTGAAATTTCTCTTATTTTTTGGGATCACTTGGTAGAGGATGGTACATGTCTTTTACTTGAAGCTTATCTAAGTAGAACTGCAGTTGATTGGATCTCTGCGTGATGTAACATATACATTAGTGTCCCTCACTACTATGGCCAAGCTCTATCCCCACGAACAAGTGTTGCTATTCCACATGACACTTATTCAACAATAGCATTGACCAAATTTCTGACTTCTTATCATACTAACATCGATCCTGTAATTCACAGTGCATGCCAGTTTCTAGCAACTGATACTATTAAATTTAATGGACTCACTAGTTACATGGCTTCTCATTGTACATAAAGTGGCCACATATTGGTACCTACCTCATTTATTTATTCTTTTTTTGGGGTGGGGGGGTGGGGGGGGGGGGGGATTG